AGAAATTTATAAATTATTATATTATACAAATTGGGTAATTAATATAAACAGATTTTAACCCAAAACTGATCAGGTCTGAGCATTAGATAAGAGCATCTATGTACCAAGTTTCATTGAAATCTGACAAGAGATAATGGTGGAAAAGCTATACATAAAGAAAGTATAAGTTGATAATTTTAAATATTTATTATTATTATTATTATTATTATTATTACTATACCAATGCAGTAATCATAATTATTATTAGTTTGTAATTGAACTTGTTCTGCATGATATGTTTCTTAGCTGTTTCCTAGATTTTAGGGTGCACAAAAGTATTTTCAAGTCATTGCTAAATGAATATTATAATTTTTTTTTTTCGTCTAACAAACTTTTTTTCATTGTTATTAGTTGCATTTGTTTTTGTTTTCTTTCTATTTTGATTTGTAATTTGTGCTTCCAAAATGTTCATCAAATTGTCAAATCTAATGGTCAACCCCTAACATTAACAAATGTCTTGTCACGCACAAAGTTTATATAACATATTTGCAAAAAAACAGCTCTATAATTCATCCAGCCTGATACAAATGGGTATCGTGAATATGTCTGTCAACATTTTGAGATCGGGCCTGCATTTTAAAAACTGTCACAGTAAAGCCCAATGTTTCATGAATTGAGACGTCCCACAGAGAAACACAATACGTGTTTCAATAAACAAATTAGTAGAAAGAAGCAAGTGTTGCTCAATCTAGTATTTTGATAGAACAAACACGACACTGATAAAAGTTGACACGAGGACGCACTAGAGATGTCCATGCGAAGAATGATCAAATAATAATTACGACTTTGTAAAACATATCCTGCGAATGATGTGGAAGGACAAACACACACACTGTCCCGCACGTATACAGTAATAGCACGAACAATAACATTTCCTTACCTTCTCTGCTGTCTGCATATATATTTATCAAAAAGCCAAAATCAGGCAAAACTGAACGTCAATAACTTATACGGCACAATTCATCAAATGAACACGGAAGTGAATGAAATGTGCACAGCTTTCGTTCTCTCCTTTGTTTACAATGCTCACAGAGACACCGTGTTTGATTGGTCATCACGACCTCACAGAGAATTGATACTTACGGGAGTTTTAAATAAAGTCTTACCATGAAGCTTTATCAAGTTAGTATGTGAAAACACGAAGTGCAACATGAAGTAAGCTAAACCTACCAATATACACAGGTTAAACATTAGTATCTCAAATAATTATCGTGTCATTACGCTCAAACTCAAATTTACCAATCACAAAGTGGTTTACATATTGCATTTGGAGCTTTGGGGTGAGGTCAAAGTTTAAAATGTGTGTGTCAGAATCCAAACTGAGATTTATGAGTAACAATAATCACATGCGCGATTGCTTGTCAGATCTTACATTATGTTATATGCAAACATTAAGTTCTAAATAATAACTTTTATCCGGCAAAGCATTTTTGTTCGAGAGATTTTTATTTTGCTGTTACGTGCGCATGCGTCTTACCATTTTTACGAAAACATGGCGGAGAAGTCGGCTGCGAAGGGTATTCTGAAAAATGCAAGGCATTTTGATCAGCCAGGTGTTAAAAGCGAGTAAGTATGAGAAATATGTATGTAGTAGAATGTTGTTATTTAAAAAAAAAAACGTATGTTATATTTATTAATAACAATTATCAAGTCGTTACGCATGTTATTTTATTTTGTTATATAGTTTGTTAGTTGTTGCAGCTCGTGTCTCTGTTTTCATCGCAAAACTCGTGCGTGCAACTTACAGAACGTTATACTAGATGATGGACTACACACAGACATGTCGCATGAGTCATTCGAATACATGAAAGAATGTTAATGTTGCTGTTGATCTGCAAGTTTGTTTTTCTCTAGACTACAGTACACCGCCTTCAATTATTGTGTTCTACTTTCTGTGACAAATACTGTTGTTTTCGAATGACGTCAAAATCATTACGTAATATAATGATAATTCGAGAATCGTTTCGATCTGTTTGTTGATTTGTTGCAACCCTTAGTTTGCCCCAAGAAAGAATGAAACGACATCATTGCAGCGTCCTTTTTTTTGCGAGCAGTATTGCAATTCTCAAAACTGCAAAAGAAGCAGAAACGAAAGAAGGATGTTAATACTTGCATTTGTTACACCATACTTGCTGGTGATTTCACCCAGTGGAATATATCATTCCATCATGGAGGTAGAAAAGAGAAGGAGTGAGGACGCTATTGTTTCCGCTGGTTTCATGATGCTTTGGATTTGTTTACTCAGTACACATTGTAATTAGTTTGCAAACATGCTGTACAATGTCACAGTTAATCGGCTTACATGTTTCAGCTGTATTCGGAAGCTTCACGAATATTCTCAACGCACTGCGCATGCCCAAATAGATAATAATAATACAAAATGCAGCGAAAGACGTACGCTGAGGTACTCAACGCCCAAAATTATTACAACAAAAGGCGTGATTTTCAACATCTGCACAGTTCTGCACACCAATGAAAAATGACTCGTCAAAACATCTTTTTATAATCTTATCATGTATCTTTAAATTTCACTGCGGAAATTTGCGGGATTTTTTCAATCAATGTCCACAGTTGGTGACTATTGCGATGATAAATTTCAGAAAAGAAGTAATCACACATCTTGCTAGCGGTCATATGCAGAATTTCCGGTATCTACAAGTGTGAAATGACCTTTGTGATTCGATAAAGGTCATTGCGCATGTACAATTCTTTTATTTATGGTTTGCGCATTCAATTTTATAGACTATGTTTAAACAGAATTTATTTTTTTCAGTTCTACTCTCGTTTTATTGTGTAAATAAGCGGCTATCATCATGTAGATAAAACGACTTCTAAGCACTCCTTCTCTTTTCTACCTCCATGATTCCATCAAAGGGAGAGCACTGCTCAGTAAAGTGAGCCTTTATTACATACATGTAACTACATGTAGCTCTGATAATAAATCAGGGACTCGCCCAATCTCCCATGCAGAATTGTATTCCTACAAATATATCTCTTCCACCAAGCGATCTTATGCTTGTCATTGATTGTCATTTTGTCGCAGAGGTACTACTTTCAAAGATGCCTACCAAAACATTGTCATGCAAGTATTCGATTATCAAAATCAACGAACATGGACACGTTGTTTGTAGATTTTCACTGTTTTCAAAGGGAGAAGGCAGGAGCTCATTTTTTAATTTCTATAGCACAAACAGAGTGTCATCAAGACGATTTAGCTGTCAGTACCACAAAGTGCTTTCATTTGTTTATATTTCTTCGCCTGGCAATCAACAGAACAGTGAGCATGAGTAACACCTTAGTAACTGTTGATGAATGAAATTATTTTCTTTTGTGAATTATAACTATTTTACCCTTTTTTTCTGTCATTTGTGTATGTATTTTACAATATGTATAAAAACTCAGGCTAAATTTACCTTTTGCCCTATGCCCCTATCATTCAATTGTTGCTGGGAAAGGATTGACCAGCTTTGTTATTAGTCCAAGAAAATTGTTCAGTTTGGAATGTGTCTAACCCCTCATTAGTATGCAAGAATGTAGGAATGTACCAAGAAAATTGTTTTTCTGGAGTAAATTGTAGTGTATTTTACTTATGAAAAGTCAAAAAGTGCATGGAGATTTTATGAAAATGTGTGGATGTTAACAAAATGATGTCGTTTGGTCACAGTTGCGCAATAAATGATGAACTATTGTGAGCGTAGCTATAAAATGTGTCACTGAAGTACTCACACGTGTGCATGATTCCAATAGTTTGTGCTGTGAAGAAACTTCATTAGAAAATAAGTATTGTGTAATTTGTAGTGAGAATGTATTCAAATAGATTTATGTTTATGAATCTTGTTTCTTTTCAAAGTGTATTTATATAATAACAATTGTTTATGGAAATGTTTTTTATACTTTTTCGATGGATTGAATTTACAAATGATGAGTTATTGTGTTATACCAGCACTCGAATTATGTGTTACGAATTTCTGATAGTTTAGGCTTTGTGTTCTTGCGAACGGGAAGACATTTACTGGTGTACAGTGGACATCGATAAAAGCCAACATATTTCGAAAGTTGTCAAATCATGATACTGTTTTGGCATTATACAACTTGCAGTTCCCTTTTGATGGATTTTGTGTGACTGGCTGTGTTATCGAACTGTAGTATTATCTGCAAAATCTGCAAGCAAAGTTTTAAACTGCCATTTTCACGCTGCGTCATAACGTCGTCGTCTAAGTATGCACAATTGTTCATCTTGTGTTTCCCAACGCATTTAAAAATCTCTTTTGAATTTGGGGTACTCTGTGTGACTGACCGTCGTGTTTGTAAATTTTAGTCAAACTGTAGTAGTGTGTAAATCTGCCACAACGTGGAGTTGCCATCGTCTCTTGTTTACCAACTCATTTAAATACGTTTGTACCTCAATGAGGACTGAAAAGTGATTTCCATTTACTTCGTCTGTTATAAATCAACTGTATTAGCTTCCTTTGAACTTCCTATTGCCATCAGGATTATGTCTACTACACTCGGCAGTATAGTGCGTATCGATCTTCTTGTATGTAACGCACCCGAACCCGGAAATAGACAACAAATCTGGATGGTCTCGTCACGTAATTTCTTACCTTGTTTTTGACCGCAGTATGCCTGGCATCCTGCTTGGCTATGAACTTCCACATACCCACGCTTATGGGAATAGTGCATCGTGGGGTAATACTGTATTGATCGAGGTGAAACAAACATGGCTGCCGATTTGGCTGTGGCCATGCATTTAGTCATTGTCGACTGTTTTTTTCGAATTGGTTGATTGTCATAGTAACATACGCTAAGTGCTAAGTACAATTAAACGTCCTGAGTTGAACAGTATTCATTTTGGTGACCATCGAACTCGGCCAGATTCTCACTCTGCCAGTGACCGTACTCGGCCAGCATAGGTGTTAATGAGTTTGTGAATGAGTGTCTGGTGTTAAAGAGTGTTGATTTCAGTGATGCATATCGTGCTTTGTTAATAAAAAAGGGTTGTCGATTTCTGTGACTCTGTATTACAGATTGCCCGAGTCATATCACAGTAAAATATAAAAAATGCACGGGAGTCAAAGAGTGTCGATTTCTAAGATTCAAAATAAACGAATATGATTATTTAATTTATTTAATTGCTTCAGTTAAAAATTGAGTTTCCAAAATAATTAATAATAACATGTACCCTCATGTATACTTCAAGTTTTCATTAAAACAAAGTCAAAGTCTTTGAAATTGCTTTTCTGTCTGATCGCCAATCCATTGCTCCAAAACACACCTTTAAATACTCTTATTTTCCCAGCATCGAGATGGCTCTGCCAACTTTTGTTTCATGTAATTTTCTTAGTGAATAGTTTGTGTTTATGGTTTGAAGCTTCTTAATTTTGACTCGGTTTCTTGTACAATGTATGTCTATTCTCCATATGTCATGGTAGTGTTTGTTTAAAATGTTGTTACTGCTTTGTTTTTTAAAATTTGAATTAATTTGACGTAAATTGTTCAATTTGTCAAGCATTACTAACTGTTTCAGTGTATGGTAAACTATGTTGTCGTTTTGTATAGATAGTTAGCATACAAATGTGTCTTGAATTGTTAGTATGTAGTAGATGTCTGCAGAAATGTAGGTGACATTTTTCCCACGTCTGTTTTGTTAATTTTTATTTGTACATACCGTAAAAACTTGATTAATTCGCAGTCTCTATTAGTTCGCGCACCCATTTTATTTTCGAACGCTAATTTTTAAATGTAACCTTTTAATTCGCGGCGTTCAAAAACATGTTTAAAATTGTATCCTATTAATTCGCGGGCCAGAATAAAGTGGATAACTCAGAATATATTGCATGAAGACATTACAAATATACATATAATTTTATGTTATCAGTACTTGGTGTCGCCACAATCGCAGATGATCTCCGTCATCACAGCCTTTCAGTTAGCAAGCAGTTTAGGTTCGGTAAAGATTTGACTTGAAAAAAATCATTCCCCCACGACACTACAGATGTTGGGCAAGATTATTACTTAGTCGATAAATATCCATCGGTCAGCACATCGATTACAATTTTCCGTGATGGAAAGCTTAGTACAGGGCTTTTTCGTCGCTGGTCCACAGGGTTGCATCGACCATGTGCCCGCCATTATTCTATTATGTCATTTAAGTGACCCGCCCTATGGTGCGTAAATTGACATTTTTGATTGGTCGGGAGATTGACCTCGTGTCACATTTTCATTATACCGGATTCGGTAAAAAACACAGAGTTAAGCGGTCATGTACCTTCTATAAATCTAACCTTGCACACATAATCTTGTACAAGAAAGATGTTCCCTTTCATTTAAACCCCAGTTAACTCTTCGCGTTTATGGTATTTGTGAGAGTTAAAAGATTTTTCGAACAAATGACAATTAACTATATTGATTTGCGTCAAGCTGGGTGGCCCGAATTTAAATATCAGTATATGAACTCTGGATGTCATTGCCCAGTGCTGCACGTAATTCAAACGCGTGGTTATTAGAGTTCAGTCGAAATGTACGTGAATAATGCGATCGAAGTCCGCTGCTCAGAGTTTATTATATTATAGTAAAATTTAATTTGACGTATGGTATGTTTATGTTTGCGTAATTATTATGAATGCAACGCATTATCAAGTCGGTGCTATTGAAATATTCACAGACCCAATACCCCGGGTCAGTGCCCTAACAATAGTTAAAAAAAAATAATTACCATGAAAGCAATACATAACAAAGTACAGAGCCGGTACAATATTGTACACAAATTTGCGTAATTAGAAAAGCAGTGCACTAAGTAAACGACGTTCAAGTTGATATATTCAAGCCAGTACAGAGCTGCATACAAGTTGTGTAATTACAGTACCTTCGAATATAATAACAATTGTACTAGTTTGACGCGCGGGGCACGAAAGAAAAAAAAGGTTGCTAAGGTAACGCGCCAGTTCAGTGCGTGACTTGGGGTCAAACTTCGGTCAACACACACTTGATGTCAGCATTGCCACGCAACAAGTTTTGCAAAAAAGTACTTGAACTTCAATTGCGTCCCAAAATTATGTCGCTGATCACTCAGTTGTCGCAGCGTGTGTTGTGTCATGTCCATGATGCACCCCGTTTCGACTTTGGCTTGCTTTTTCTTCTTAGTGATGTGACCTCTCACCAATGTATTAAAACACTTTGAATTTATACTTTGCATGATTATATTTGGTCAACGCGAAACAATATTTTTCTAAACATTTTCTGAGACCATTTTTATCAACGCAGGGTTATTTTTCCCGACAAGATGGGCTTCGTAATATCTGCCATAACATCTCCCGGGCGATGCCTAGAAAAATAAAAAAGGCAGTGCAGCCAGACGGCTACTTTGTAGCCACGTGTTCATTGCTTGCTTGTGTACAGAGTGACCTTTGCAATTTCACTGTTTCATTTCAAGTGTAACATGGTGCGTGGTCCTTGACGCAGTGCGTGTTCTCTACCCGACTATACGCCATGAATGTCGCTAGCCACGAGTCTCAGAGGCACTAAAAAACCTCCTGTAATCATGTTCATTGGAAAACAAAACAAATCACTAATAAATTTATGAAAACAGCTCTCTTTTGAATCGATCAAAAAGTACTCTTTTAATTCGCGCACCAAAAACCAATAATTTCCGTTTTTACGCTAATAATTCGTGCACTTGAAAAAATAATTATTTTTACTACTGCGAATTAATCGAGTTTTTACGGTACTGTAATTCTCATGCATATATAAGGATGGGCAGTTGTGTGGCTTCAAAGATTTGGTTTGGTTTGGTTTGTAATGAAAGTACATGTAAAGTGATAAATCAAAATTAAGGGCTACAAAACACATGTCTGAAGGCATGAATAGTTGCACATGATTATGATTTTTTCTTTGCCCTATTTCTATGATGAAGTGTAAAAATCTATTTTTCTACTCAATTCATCAATATTATCCTGGCTAGTGCCCTTCATAAGAAAACATAGTCATTGCCCTGTACTACTGTGAAACATCAATTTTAACTAGTTCAGTTCATTACTACACAGTAAAGGGAGAGTAGGAAATCAAACGGGCAGTTCATCGCGGTAATCACCGCGGCAATCCGCGGTACACCGGGGAGAGCCGCGGACTGCTTATAATTAGGGGTCTCTATCACGGTAGTCACCGGTACCGGTTGCAACCACGGTCATAGGAAAGGTGTGAAATACGTACTTAACACTTTCCTTTGTGATTCCATGAGAGCATCGCTGGCATGGAAATACTAAGCACATGGTAATATTATCGGCCCACATATTTTATTAATATAAAAATTCATAAGTTCAATGCTGTATATGATTTGTTGTTGCGTGAAACAATGTTGTATTTTATGCATGTATTTATCACCAATTCCAAGAGTAAAAGTCGTAACTTTCGAAGGTTACGAGTATTATGACTCGTCCATACATTTCACTTACGTTTGTTACACTTGAATAAAGTCTACCACATGAAAAGAATGTTATTTAAAAAGTTTTAAATAGCCGAGCCTTCCTGATTCGAGCCTCTTTGATTTGACAACGGTGGGTATCATTAATGTTTATTCTTTGCCTGTATCGCATTCCAGACAAAAAGTTCAAGTTCGGTAAACAAGAAATGGACGAACTAAAATGTCTCCTGTGTTTCACGTGCAACATGATTATAAAAAAAAAACAGAGTTAAGCGGTCACGTACATTTTATAAATCTAACCTTGCACACATAACCTTGTATTGACGTGTTTTTTTGTTTTGTTTTTTGGTCAAAAACAACGTTGCCTTTCAGTTGACTCTTCGCGTTCATGGTATTTGTGAGAGTTTACCGATTTTTTTAACAAATGTTAAGTAATTATATTGTTTTGCGTTAAACTGGGTGGCCCGAATTTAAATGTCAGTGCGTGAACTAGGTCATTGCCCATTGCCGCATGTAATTCAAACACGTGGTTATTAGAGTTCAGTAAAAGGGTTGCTAAGGTAACGCGCCAGTTCAGTGCGTGACTTGGGGGTCAAACTTCGGTCAACACACACTTGATGTCAGCATTGCCGCGTAGCAAGTTTCGCAACGTACTTGAAGTTCAATTGTGCGGGATTTGTGCCCCAAAATGATGTCGACGATCACTCAATTGTCGCAGCGCCTGTTGTACCAAGTCCATGATACACACCCCGTTTCGACTTTGGCTTGCTTTTTCTTCTTAGTGCATGTTCTTGTTCATGTAAATGCGACATCTCACCAATGTATAAAAACACTTTTAATTTATACTTATGCGTGATTATATTTGGTCTACGCGAAACTTCTTTCTAAACATTTTCTGAGACCATGCATGATATATATTCACAAAATGATGCGATCATATTTTATATTATGTTGATCTCTACATCTTCCTGGATCGTTTTGTGATTTTATTCAAGGCTCAGGCAAATAAAATAATGTCAACTATTATAGACTAGTTTCCTAGCTTTTGGCTCAGCCAAATTGGTTTAATTTTTCATTAGAACTTTGTTATCTTTTTAATTTCCCAGTTCTTTGTGTTCATTAATGGTCTTGACAATAAGTGTGAATTGCTGTGCGAGCCCACCGCGGTCAGCCGGCGTTATGGAATCTATGCATAAATTTGCATAAAATGCGGTCGACCGGCGAGCACCCACCACCACCGTTGTAATGACCGCGGTGCACCGCCCGTTTGATTTCCTACTCTCCCCTAAGGTGTTTTTGATTTCCTTCTTCACAATTTCTTTCTGAAGGAAAAAGTTCTTTTTTAGTCCCCGTTCTGACGCAGTTCGAAAATGGGGACTTATGTTTTGACCTCTGTATGTCCATGCGTCTCTGTATCTTAGAAATGCCTGGACCAATCACAATCAAACTTCACAAATGCATCATACATGATGTTATACATACATGTTGTATGCGCATCAATTTGTTTCACAATCTGATTTAAGATGGCCAAATGGCAGCCATTTTTGTGCTAAAAAATCATCAAAATCAAGCATATCTTGGCTGTTTACAGATGGATTTTGTTCAACTTGGTATATACGATAGACATTATAGGACCATGATGCACATCATTTTGTTTTTCAGATCGGATTTAAAATGGCCGACTGGTGGCAATCATGTTTTAATGAATGCAGTTCTAGTGCCATATCTTTGACATGCTTTGACTTATTATGTTCAAATTTTATATATTCATTATACATGTATTCAAAAATGGCTGATTTTGTTTTAATTAATGCTGTCCCAGAGCAATATCTCTCAATACTCGTTTGACGATCAGATAAAAATGTCAATCATTTTAATGTTAAACAATCATCTTAATCATATCCCTGACATGTTTATGTCCCAGCTATATGACTATAAACAAAACTATATATCCTAAATTCGATAACTAACGGGGACTGCACCATGCATGGTTTTTCTTTTATTGTTTCATTATATCTTCCACAACAGGTGAACATAGTATTGTCTACATCTACCAGATCTGACTGTTTAACTTTTATTTTTATTTGCCAGAGATGGTGTGAAATGGGATGAGATGAACATAATAGCTACGCATCATCCAGAAGGCAAAGATTACGGTCACATGAAAATAGATGAACCAAGTACACCTTATAGTCATTATAGCGATCCTGACGATGAGAATGCTGATCCACACAGTGACCATGAACATGAAGGCTTAGATGAGGCAGCACTTGAAGAAAGGTAACTCACATTGTTGTAATCATCTTACGAATCGCACGGTTTAATGCTGCCGACTCATTGCAGACTCCACCAACCCGTGCAGGATCAGCCTGGTAAACACGTATTTTATGTTAAACAAATGGCCAAGTTTGATTGGATGTGCCTGTTGGAAAGGCGCCCAATCAGACGCTGTGTATCATTGCGCGGTAAGCTAAAGAACAAAATGTCAGAAATGGCAACAGCACGGTTACTTCAAAATTCTTCTAGTAACCGTGCGTATAGAGTGTGTTTAGGTTGTTTGCCAAAACCCCCAAAAAACGGCGCTGCATTTTTTCACCCATTTCCACAATTTGTTATGCCACCGCTACAGGCTGTTTGTGGCATACTTCGTCAGCATAGGGACAAATATTTATGTTGATCATGTTTTAACAAAGTAATGAACGAAATTCTCAATTCTCTAAAACTGAACACTTGAAGAAAGGTAATTCACATTGATGTAGTCAATTCTCTATGTTTGTTAGGTTGCAGCTATTACAAAGAGACGGGAAACTAACAAATGATAAATTAAAATTGCAATGATATTAACTCAAGGATTGTTTTTTTTCTATGTTGTTTGGTTGTCAGGTTAAAATCTGAAGAGGAAAAGAAGAAATGGTGGGAAAAAGAACCTGGGGAAGAAGAAAGTAGTGAAGAGGAAGAGGTTGATCTCACAGAGGATGAACAAAGTAAGTTGTTCATTGGAGGTAGTGGATTATTAACAACTAAAAAAAATGTTTGTGAGAATTATTCAAACAACCATCTTAGACTTTCGACTCCTGTATGCGAAGCATACAATGGGAGTCTTTGCAGTTACTACCTCTGTATGTATGTTTGTACTGTTGTACGTGTGTGTGTCTGTTCCACCGATATCTCAAGAACCATATGTTAATTTAATTGGTTTTTGATGAAACTTGATGCTTAGATGCTCCGGGTTTTGGTTGAAATTCATTGCTGGTATATCAACTTTTTTACTGATATCTAAATAACCACTCATTGGACTTTGATGAAACTTGGTATATACCGGGTATATGCTCTGCAACAATGTACCCATGTATATTAATTACCTAATTTGCATGATGATTAGTCAATTTTCGACTTCTCCACTGATATCTCAAGTACTAATCATCACATTGCAATGAAACTTGGTTACATAGATGTCATAAGACAATTTACAGACCTAATTAGTTTTGGGTTAATATCTGTTTACCATACTCGACCGCATTAGTGCCTAGGATCCTCAACTCGGAAAATCATGAATTTTTAGGGGTGGGCGCTTACCTGAGCACCCGGAAAAGAGTGCAAATGTCAATTTTAATTAACCATGTGACAGATTGAAGGGGATATTATGTATTTGATGGAAAATAAAATTACGAAATTAGTTGTGTTGTCATTGACTTTTACAATGAAGAAATAAATGATCACTAAAAATATGCACATTTTTGTACAATATTAATTACAAACCACCCAAATTATCATTATCTCCACTGACGAATGTGTTGGATCATACGCAAACTCTCAATGAAAAGCACTTTCCGCCATGATGTATTTGCATTATTTGACCTGCAACAACGTCCTTTGACCTATTGGGTCCAGTCTGTTATTAACACAATTCTCCGGAAATTCTCAAAAACTTTCTGGTAACGCAATGCGGAAGTGAATTATCGATGTCAAAGTACAATCTGTTGAAATTGATTTTGGCGAATAAACTAGCAATTTTTGATAGGTAAACTTAATATAGCGTGAAATATTTACCACATTTTACTTTTATTAACAGATCATTGTCGAAGCGTAGTTTATTGACAACATATTCACAGTGGTCGATATCCACACTGTATCATATAAAAACGATTACCAGTATTCGTTAAGCAATAATCAAAGACAAAGTTTTAAATCGGTTTAATTTTTAAGCAGTGGGCGCTTTGCCGAATGTGACCCTGAATATAAAAATTGTGCAAAAGTGGGGGGTGGCCGTTTGACTGGGCATGGATTCTTTTTGCTTTTTCCCTGGTATTTCAAGTACTAATCATCACATTTCAATGAAACTTGTACATGTACATGGATGTCATAGAACATTGCACAGACCAGTTCAGTTGTGGTTTGAATCTGTGCATATATTTCATGGTATGCTTTTTCATCAATACAGTACAGTTCTCGCGAAAACTTTGGCTTTTGTGGCATCATTGTCGCCTACGCATGGCTTCATTGTCACCTCAGCATCGCATCATTGTGGCATCAGCTTCACGTCATTGAAAATTGAAGCTGTGTTCGCCTCGCTTATTTTGTGGCATCATCGTGGCCTCAGCTTTGCAGTCTCATGGCATCAACATGGCATCAACATGGCATCAGCTTCAAAGTATTGTGACATGAGTATGACCTCATTATTTTCACACGGGAAGGCAGTAGAGAAAAACACATGTACAGAAGTTTGATATGTAATCGATTTGAAATTCAAGGCGGTAAGGGGAATAAAATAATATGACCAAGAGTAAAATGACATTTTTGAAAAGATATCTTGTTTAATTATTTAATGTTGCGAGTATTGGGTATCAAAAACTTTGTGAAGTACTAGTACATTGCAATCAGCAAGGTGACAAGTGTCATATTGACTGCGAGGAAAATCGTGCTAAATTTAAATCACACGATGCAATCGTCGTTCAGATACAACACAATTTGCTATACGAAATGAAACTGTTCTTGTTATAAAATTACCTTATTTTTGTTCATTTTATTTGCTGGTAAGAGAACAGATTCAGATTCCTCATTTCGGTGGTATTTTTCTGTGTTTCGTTTAGTTTTAGCCGAGTTCGATCCCATGCCCGGACTACTAATACATGCAAAACACACGTACGCCGCCTGGTGCGTCGGCGTCGTCGCCTGCCATCTTGATACAAAGTTCTAAAACAAGTACGTACATTTCTAACTATGATTGGATGGTTGTGGTTGCGTCGGTCTGATAAAATTTTACATCCAATTTTCAAAATTAAGTCATGATCAGTGACCTGAGCTCGATCTATATGTACTTTAAAAGTATTCTCACAGAAAATATTTTTGAATAAAAACGAGCAACATGCCCTGTAAAAAATTGAATAGCACTTGACATGCAGAAATAATTTATTGGGCTCCAGAAAAAAACGTGTCCATTTAGTTGTACCTTGAATATTTGGTGACCAGTCGATGAACAATTTGAAACTCATGATACACACGGAAGTCCTTCGATACTGAATATCATCGACCCCAATCTGGTTTACCTTATTTCCCAACTTGCAAAACTGATTTGTATCTCAAAACTGATTTTGTAGCAGTGCGTCACGTCAGAATATTGTTTAAAATAAAATAGTCAATCCCAGCCAAATCTAGGTCAAAGGGTCATATTGCGTGCATACACATGTATAATTATAGATAGTTAAAACAAAGTATTTGAACTTTTGGCGGTTGTTCAATATCTATGCACGGTTACTAAACTAGTAACCGTGATCTATGAAACCCAGAAAATTTTTAGTAGTCCGAATTTTTGCACAGTCGAAAATAAAGCGGAAATTCAACAAGCGGTCGCAAAAGCGAGCGATTGAAAAGCGGAAGCGGGCGAGAGGTTGGGCGAAATGAGTTCTGTACTTCTTTGTTTGATGAAGCGATGCTGATGCCACATTGTCGCCATAATGAGGCCACAATGAAGCGAAGCGATAACCGCCTAACTTTTTAATGTCGCAACGTTGATGCGATGCGATGCTGAAGCCATAACAATGCCATAATGATGCGATGCTGAAGTGAAGCTGAAGTGAAGCCAAAGCTTTCGCGAGAACTGTACTGTATCTCAAGTTCTAATCACATTTCAATGAAACTTTGTACATTGATGGTATGTCACATTGAGCAGACCTTATTCATTTTACATTAAAATCTGTGCATATTAATTACCTTATTTGCATGATAATTATGCAGGTTTCAGCTTTTCCATCAATATCTCATGTACTTATCAAATTATTTCAATGAATCTTGGTACTCTAAGACAATGCAACAGTTTAATTAGTTTTGTGGATGTGGATCACATTGTTTTCATGTTGTACATCTGAAAGAAGGAGACAGATATTAGTTACCAAGCTTCTTGTTTAGTTAAGGCTAATTAAGTCTACAATACTCTCAGACTAACATCATGTTTAAAATATCTCGCATTGATTTCAGAACAAAAGGACCTTTTTGAGCTAAAAAGGAAACATCACTATAATGAATTTTTCAACATAAAGCTTGCAAAAAAACTTATGGAGGAGGAAAATGATGAGGATGAAGAGGAGAGTACGGGAAACAATGATGAGAAGCCCGAGTGCAGTAAAACGGCATCACAGAATTATGATGATGACGACGAAATCCAACTATGAACAGTTTCAATGCTTTGTGAATTCAAGCAATAAATACTACTGTGGTGGGCCCAGAGACTGGGAGAACAAATTGTATTTATTTTATTTTATTTTATTTTATTTT